ATTGTTGTGAGTTGTTTTTTGGGGGGAGGAAGGAGAAGGTGGGAGAGAGAGAGAGAGAGAGAGAGAGAAAGTTGTTTAACTATGGGAAGGGGGTGTGAATGCTTTCAACCCAGTCAGAACAAAAGAACTTAACCTCAGAGAGTGTCAGGGCAGATGCTCAGGAATATACCGTGTAGCTCAAGCCGGTTATTTATGTTCACTACCATCTACTGGAGTTGTTCAGATCGTCAACACACACAAACTTTTAGCAATAGTTTAGTTAAAGTCGTCAGTGGGGTTTGTATGTGTGTGTGTGTGTGGGGGGGGGGGGGGGGGGGGGGCAGGGAAGTGGGGGTAACGTGAAGGTAAAAAAAAAAGGTCACTCAATTCATGTGGGTCACTGCTGTGCGTAATTGGCTGCCGCGTTTCGCCCACAAAAGATATACAGTCAATTCACTTTACAGTGTATTTCTGTGAAGCGCTTTGAGACGTCTCAGCGACTTGACGCACTGCCGTATCGAATGCAAGGATTAATATTATGATTATAAGGTTGGGGGGCGGGCGGGTGGGGGCAGAAATCTGGGTTAAAAATGCGCTTTGCGATGAGATGCGATGCGATAATGAGCGCCGGCGTTGGTTATCACACCACATGTCGCATGTTGGCACCCTTCAACAGTGGGAAATCGGTGTTTGGACGAAAGAATTGGGAATAACCCCTTTTCTTCTCTCCCCCCCCCCCCCCCCCCCTCACACACACACACCAAAAATATATACTATGTATATATATATATACGAATGGCTTTTTTATAAAATATTGCACACGAAACGGCAATACTTTGCTCAGAAACTGTTAGATTTGGAACTTTTGAGAGTTGGAGAGAGTTTTATTCAGAATGTGACCAACGATAAGTGTGACAGGAAACGCATTCAGTAAAAAAAAAACGTGTTTGTCGGGGGGAAGGGGATATGCATTATAATTTTTTTGGGAATTACGATTTTTTTTCCAATAAAAAAGATCTCCTCCCCCTCATGTTTGAAGCGATTTCTTAATTAAAAACACAGTGCACTCTCTTGAAACAATAATAGTAATAATAATAATAATTTGGTCACTCGATCCACCACTGTTTGTGTTTGTGGGAGACGCTGCTGTGCGCAATTGACTGCCGCGTTTCGTCCACAAAACACGCAGTCACTACACTTTACAGTATATCATGTGAAGCGCTATGAGACATCTCGACGATGTGATAAGGCCATATCAAACGCAAGAATTATTCTTAATACTTACAACCCCCAAAACACCCCCCCCCCCCCCCACCCCCCATACACACACACACCACTTTACATGGAAAGGAACCAGAAAAAAATACCCCAATTGGTGGGTGGGTGGGTGGGGGTTGGGGGGGGGAGGATAAAAAAAAAAGAGTATTCATATGTAGGGTCAATAAGGCCAAAGGCCGCACTTTCCATCCTAATTTAATTTCACTTTCTATAAATACTAAATGTAAACTGTAGCCAGTGGACCTGAATTTGCCTGTAGCAATAAACGCCTCATTTTCTGTTTGAGGTGGCGAGTGGAATTCAAGGGAGAGACGTGGTTGTGAATACATGCAGTCTAATCAGACTCAGGCAATGGGACTCTCCTCTCTCTCTCTCTCTCTCTGTATTATTACAAAGAATTAATACGACTTATTTGACCAATTTCTGGAGCTGACAGAATGTTAATTTGGGCTGAGTTTCTCTTTCCCCCGCTCACTGGCTGACCCCTGGCCCATGATTGGCGTATTGTAATAACCTGTATCTTTCAACATAAGCCGCGATAATTGTTACCTTATTACCATGCAAATTGTTTAATTAATATTATTATGAAGAACCATATAATCCATTCGTCACTTGACCCGGAGTCCACGCAGCAAACCAGTTTTTTTTTAAATATATATATATATATATATATATATAACACACACATATCTGAGTATGTAAAAATTTTAATCGGCGCCAAGTTTAATGCTTTCTCGAGTCTTTGTGAAAAAAAAATCTCTTAAAGCGTTTGGGAGCAAGGTTTTAATAGGAGAGAGAGTGTGTGTCGTTTGATGAGAGTTCTGTGTGCTTGTAGTCAACCAGTCAATCTACACAAATTATGGAAATCGTTTTATTTCTTGATTTCCTACATCAAAATCCTATAATTGCCTGCCTGACATTTGCTTATAAAAGCAAATTTTCTCTCTCTCTCTCTCTCTCTCTCTTTTTCATATATATATTAAAAGGCACCCTTCACACATGTGATTTTCAGTCGCAAGGTTTTTTTTTTGTACCCCCCATCTCCAGCGAGGGAGCGAGACACACACACACACACACACACACACACACACAAAAAAAAACAAGACTTGCAACTCAATGAAAGGAAGCCCTTGACACAAAGTCCTCTGAGACACTGCATTTAAATACGTTTTCCTACACGAGAGTGACATTGTCAGATGCTGCCTTTAATTAACTTGATAATAAGACGTACAAAGGCTGTGGT